TATTTATTTAAACACATAAATATTGGTACAAAGTACCATCAGATATACATGCGCCGCAGAAATCTCATTTGATTTGTGTAAGGGCTGTGATACTGCACAGGTGCCCAAACTGAAACTAGTGGTTTTCTTAGGGGACCACACCCGGAGCCTTTGACATAGAGATCTGATCCATAAGGTAGTGGAGCATCGTGAGGAGATGCAGTCCCATGTTAGCCGGTGACCAACGATTGATTCATTCGTCATTTGTTGCTTCAGGATACTGGAGCCCATGTGCACCATTGGTTTGGAATCAGGATTTTCCAACTCCCCTAGGTAAGAATCGCCGTGTCCATCAACCCGGTTAAAGCGTCGGACATTCGCTTTTCGTCCTCTCAATTTCGTAAACAACACTAGTGTCACGAGAATGCAGTGTGTAGGACTTCCCTGGAAGAGGCTATATACGCGTGGCCATGTGCGAGCATTTCGACCGTACCAGGGCATTTGAGGGCTTGTTTAATATAATTCTATTTTGTTTTATTTTACATATTCGTTGAACATTAATAGTGTATCAGCTTTGGTAAAGGAATATTTTCAGATGATTGTTTACTTCTGGTTGATATTTTTTTAACATATTAATAAACTAGTTGTAGTTTTTATTATTACTGTGAATATTATTGTTAACTATTATCGATTTGTGGACACTAATCATTAAACCTTACTGTTAGTCACAATTACAAATTAGTTTTTAGCTTGAGATTAGTGATTGGTTTAATTTTTAGGTTATATTCATCAGTTTAATATCAGTTACAATACCATAAAAATACTTAAAAAACATTGGCTAACTGATTTATCCTTGTATAGAATTAAATAATGCACATCGTTAACCCTACTAGAGGTCGAACCCACGAGCCTCAGGTCTTACAATAAACAATCATTGATTTGAAGTTCATTAATGTGATATCTAGTATAATACATTTGGCGATTATTTTATATCATAGATAATAATTATCCCAATCCTGACTTGTCTAAACTCTACCAGTCACGATTACTCTTTAAAGCTTTAAGTAATTCATTAGTAAACTAATTGTCATAGTTCAGTTGAAAAAGTTTTATGGTGATTAATTTATTGATTAAAATAAACGTGTACTATTAGAACTGATCAATCATTCTCTCAAGATCAATTAATTTGACACTTTGATAAAATTCACTTTTTAAAAAGTATGTTAACTATTTTCATAAAAATATCGAAAAAATTTCAAATTTCGATTCATTAAATACACAAAATATATTACAAACATAATAAGTAAAACTGATTCGCGAACGATTGTTGTCAAGGTAGTTTGCAAACTGGATTGACAGTATTAATCGTTTTATAAATCTGTTAAATGATCTGTGTTAAAAAAAAGAGTTAAACAAAAACTTCAAATTTAACCTTTAACTTATTCTATGCTCATAGTCGCCTGAAAACTTACACTTTTAATCAATCCAAGTTATTGGTTTAATTCAATTGGCTAAAAATCACTTACAGCTGGTGCCTATTTATATGTAATCAACTAATATTGGTTGTTTTGTATAGTTAGGATCATGAGTCAAATGAAGCTGGACCACCGTGGAAACACTGGACGACCGTTTTGTCCTATTGTGAGAATCCTCAGCAGTGCGTATCCACGATCCCGCCTCGCGGAATTCGAACCGGGGACCTACCAGTCTCGCACCAGAGCACTTAACTGGTTGTGTAGAAGTGTGTTCTATAAATTATAACTATTTGTGAATAATTTCTTAACTCATATTTACTTACTACAGATTACATTTTATTATGATACAAATTCAAAGTATTGAAGCATTTACGAGGCCCTGATGAATATGATTAGTGTATTGCTACTAAACAAATGAAATATTGCATAAACACAGATTATTCTATCTGGATTGATTTCGTTTTGTTTAGGGTTAGTTCATGTCGTGCTCTTTTTTTCAAAACTCAATTCCTACAATCAATTTTAGATAAATCAGATTTTATACCGACAACTAAATCGTTGTGTTGAAAAAACCCACAGATAAGTTACATAAATCAGAGATTAAAAGTAACTATTTTTTCCATTATAAATCTTATTTTCGTTGTTAAGTATTTCTTGTCAGATTGTAAATAAGGACACGAAATTTAATTGACTTTTGCATGTATTGATGATATTCAACTATGTTCTAATATTTTGAATTGTTCATGTCACTATCTTTTTTCTCTTTCCAAATTTATTTCACTGGATTATACTCCTTGAATAACATCTTCAAACCCTAATCTTTCCAATTACTGCTTATACTCATACTACTTCTACCACTATGGGATTTGAATCGACAACTTCATCTCTGTGCTAATTTGGTGTGGCAACTCGAACTGATGTACGTACATACGAAGTTCTACGTTGTGACTGACTGATTCAACTATGTTCCGTAGATGGTTTACTCTACAAGATTGTTAATACTTTGAAACTCCTCAGGTTTCTAATAAATGGTTGTCATTCAGCAGATAAATCTGTTCATAATCTATGGTTGATCTCCTTTCAGTAAATATCTATCTGTAAAAGGTACAGTGATCATGAACTTCACTTTGTGCATTTCAGCGTACTAATAAAAACAAACATCATATCCTTACTATTGACTAACTTCGAAGGATCATTCCTGGAATTCCGGTGAAAAGCCATAACTAATAGAGTTCAGTCTTGTCGGAGGTTAGATAAATGTTACTAATGGAAATTGGTGGTTACAAATAAATGTATAATGTAAACCGTTGGATGGTCTAACTGAGTGTTTTAGCGGTTAAATAAGGCCTGAAAGTTGTAAGTTTGATTTCCAACAGAGTCGTATATTATTATTGCTGACTAGTTCTATAATGAATCAAATATTCTGTTCAATGCTTCCTGATTCCTACTGGTTACTATGTAGTGAACAAGAACACGAATGGGGACAATCGAATGTATTTAAGTACAAATTACAGACTATCTCACTAAAATCTGAGAACTATGTACTAAATAGGTAATTTGCAAAATAACAATCCATCGTCTCAAACTTGACTGTCCCTTTTAGCAAATATTAGTTCATTGTCTCAGACTTCATTGTACATTCATTTTCATATCGATTGCGTCCCGTACTTTCACATGTTCCATCTTTTTCATTGTCTTCTCTAAGTGTAACTAATTTTCAATTACATTTACTGCCCCAAACTTGAGATAATATGATATAAGATTTTAATTCATTTAATAAATTTTGATTGTCTAAGACTATTCATGTTCTTTCAACTTTAATTGTTGGTATCCTCATGATTGATATGCGTATGTTGCATTTTTGTTTTCACTAGTTCCCCTACAATTAAAGCTTCTATTATTTATCTGTATATGTTTGAATTTTCTCATTATTGATTTTAAGGACTGAATTTTGATCAGTCCGACGATTTAAACACGAGCCATTGGCTATCAGGACTCAATAGCTTAGCAGATAACACTTTCATAATTTTAAGATAAAGTTACTGAGTTCAAGTCCGGGTGTGAATATCAACATCAATGAAGATATATTTAACTGACGAACCTCATGTAGTACGAGACATCCCTCCAGAATTCCACTGTTAGCCCTTGTACATCTTAATTATAATTGTGTTGCATAATTGCAATCAAAACGAACTTGTACACATCATGTACTTTTATCTTATTTCGAAGTATAATTCTTATCATCATGTTTTCGTTAGATAATAAACTAATCGATAATCACATCATTCAAAAGGTGTTATATATACTGAAATGGACCATTGTTCTTAACTTTAGTGCTTAAACGGATTGATTTTTACAACTTACTTTCTTGCACAAAAGTGTTTATTGAAATACAGATTAAATCGTGACAAATTGATTTTTGCTTGATTTACTGTAAGTGATAAATATTGATTAGAACCGATTTACTAAATTAATTTCACAAACATGATACTACTTTATACACGATATATATTACTATCAAAAATCAAACGAAATATTTTAGTAGTTCTATATAGTTGAGATTATAAGTCAATTGAATTTAGACCACCATGAAAAACCTGGAAACACTGAACAGCTGTTTCGTCCTATTGTGGGACTCCTCAGTGTTTCCAGGTTTTCCATGGTAGTTTAGCTTCAATTGACTCATGATCTCAACTATATAAAATTACTAAAATCTCCACAAAACCCCTTTATGAAATATTATAAATTAATAATAAAACCAGCAGTTCTAATGAGGATAGAATTTAGCACACATGGAAAGTAGCTGTCAGTTGTCTAAAGGTACTCCTAGAGCAGTTGTTGTTAACTCTTAACTTTTCTTATATTTTGTTCTGATATTCTTAAACGTACTGTTTTGAAACTTGAATGATAGATTTCCTCATAATCTTTCTATTACGAAACATATCCAACAACATTTAAAACAAATTTATTTAGATTGTGTCTACTGAAGATGTGAAATAATTAGATGTTAAAATATAATATAATAGATGGTCACTCATTGTTTCATCGAAGCAATCCAGTAACAAAGATAATGAAAGCGTGAACAGTGAGAGTAAAATTTCAAAAGATATGTAATAAGAAGGAATACTGCCACTGAAAATCTAGAGGACAAGGTTAAATGTATCTGCGATTAGTTCTGATCTACTTCACCCGTCTCCAACAATTGTTCACGGTTGTCGAGCGTACCTCGTTATATGTAGTTAAAATGAATAAATTGTTTGATTGCGTAATCTGTGCATTTATTAACAATTTGAATATATATAAAGTTTGTTAATCATTTAATATTGATCTTATTCAAAGATAGATATGATAATGGTTCAAATAAGAGTTGATAAAACACAAAATATAACTTGATTCCGTTACAATTCTATAACTGATATATTTACTTCATTTAGTATTACTTGTTTGAATATTCCCATTGATGTTTTAGGACTGCAACTGATCAGTCTCTAATTGGCATATGTGCATACTGTACGTATTGCCTCAATATAGCCTTAATTCACAAGCATGGTAAGCAGAGATAAATCGTGGCTAGTTCTTCTAATTTTCTACAATGATGGTATTGTTCACTGTGGATATAACTCAGAATGTAATCACTATTCTACAAATAAGCGATTGAGTATATTATAAATTTTACTGTTCATGTGGAAAATTTTTTTATTAGAATCAATGTTTATTTATTAATAAGTTAACCAAGTATCGTCAAATCCATGATAACTATGCTCTCACATGACCATGCGAATTTATAGCCTCTGCCAGGGAAGTCCTAATCACTGCCTTCTCGTGACACCGGTGTTGTTTACGAAATTGGGAAAACGAAAATCGAATGTCCGACGCTTTAACCGGGTTGGTGGACACGGCGATTCTTACCTAGGGGAGTTGGAAAACCCTCATTCCAAACCAATAGTGTATATGGGCTCCAGTATCCTGAGGGAACAAATGGAGTATGAATCAACTGTTGATCACCGGCTACCATGGGACTGTATCTCCTGACGTTGTTCCACTGCCTTGTGGATCACATCTTTAGGCCATAGACTGCAGGTGTGGCGTTTCCTAAGAGAACTATCTGCTTCGGTCTGGGCACCCGGACAGTATCACATTCTAAAACACGGATCAAGTAACTTATGTGGCGCATATGTATTCGGTGCCCCTTTGTACCAATATTTATGTGTTTAAATAATAAGATACATTCTCTTACTTGGATTTCTTTTTCACTGAAAAGCATTTTTGCTGAAATGCCTAAAAGGGAGTATTGTATGGTACACACTAATATTTTTGTACATTTGATTAGAGAGATGGTTTTGTTCACCATCGACTACCAGTCAACAAAATCTAAGTACTGTCATTATCCTTCTGTTTCGTTCCTATTGGAAATTCCTTATTAGACCGCACTAGCAAATCAATGCAAGATTCAGCTCAAAACAGACCTTGTTAGATAATGTAATATTTCATGAAACTCATTTCTGAGTTGTCTTATTACCTTCTGATTGACTTCACAAGTAACAGCCTCCCAGTAAAATCCACCCAAACATCAGTCGCCAATGAATATACAAGGGCATCATTTTATAGGAAGTTTGTTGTGCAAGCTGATATTAGCTGGAGGGTCATCGCGAAAACCATCTACCACCAAACAAGTGTTTTGAATATTGTATCCACTCTGATGTCTGGCTTCAAGAATGATATCTCAATGTGTCAGATGGTCGAAAATCACTATTGAGAATGGTTAAAAGTTATCGTTCTAGATATATAAGGGAGTTATCATAGCTGAAAATATAAGACAGCTAATTCTGATTCATTGAATTAAAAGCGTCATCCTCACCCAAGTGCTGTTAGTAGTTCCTCGCACTCCAGAAGGAAACTTCTTTATGAGTTACCTGAAAATGAATCTGTATTGTAAATGATCTTTAGGATCTAAAAGCGTTAACACATTGTTCATTGGATAGTCGTTTTAAGATCAGCCACATACGGGCTGTTTGTGAATAGTTTTAAATGTGTCGACTCAGTACTTTTAAAGCTTTAACATTGTTGACAGAAATCCAATGTTATCTAGTTTTAAAAGCTTTCCTAGCTAATATTGGGTTTATGTTGAAAACTACCATTACAAATGAATGCTTCAACAAGTATAAATGATAACATGCTATTTTGAATGGAATTATTGTTACTTACTTTGTACATCAGCACTTACCATATGACATCAAACCGTTAATATTTCCTTATTGTTGTATCAGTTATCACAAATCTATTGAATAATCCATTTAAACTTATTCCTATTCATCTCCATAATATTGGACTTGATAAACACAACAATTACTTAATTGCTTCGATGGGTCTGCTTTTTTAATTGCTCAACTTCCCTGAATTCCTTTTCGTCAGGTACATAGATATACATATATATTTGTTGCTTTGTGTCGTAAATTTTAGGCTGCCAATGTTGTGAATTCAGTAAACACTCGTCCTCGTGTCCTATCATTGTATCGGCGAATATTTCGAATTGCTCGAACTTGGCAGGCAAACACTGGTTCAGTTGAAGATTCATCAAGTCAAGCTGATTATATGAAAAAGGAAGCAAGAACTTTATTTCGTCAAAATGCACATATTACAGATGAGATAGAAATTGAAGTAAGAGATGTCATTTTTCTTAACTTCCACTTTTAACACTATAATAGTATGAGCAAAATCTTGACTACTTAAAGAGTGATCTACGAAATTGATTACGTCCAGATGCAAATGCTTATTTTTATTAATACTTTGCATAAAAGAATACTATTTCGTTAGAAGGAAGACCTTTTCTACTGGAAAGCTGTTTTGTTGATTTCTAATCATTTGAATAATGGTAAAGAGGGACTTTTGTCAATCATTCGGCCTCATAATCAACCACCAACTAACCACATATTATCATTTTGATATCATCTATTGATCAGCACTTTTCTGTTTCATGTAAACTGTCGAGAATACACTAATCAAATTAGCTAAATCTTGATTTATAAAACACTTCTCATAACATCATTTTTTCGCTCTAAATGATTAAATTGAGTTGCACATTATATTGTCTCCATAGTTTATGTTTAATGCTCGAAACAAACCTTTATATTTGATGTTTCCATTGGATAAAAACATCATATTTAGAATGTGCACAATAGGTATCAGTAATCTGAAAACTTAACAAGTACGAGAAAAAAAAGTAATTCTGACATTATTTTGTTACAACTGATCGAAGTTGTATGGTTATGTCAATTGATGATAATACTGTAACTGGGTGACAAGAAATCCCTCCCTGACAGTAAATGGGTACCACCAAAAAATGAAACTGGTCGGCAAAATGAGTCATAAGATAATAACACATATAAGTATGAAATATTTGACATTAAAAGTACACATGATTTAGTACCAACTAAAATAGAAATGGTTGTAAGATTTTAGTTTTGCTGATCACCCACTAAATATTATTCTCTGCTTTCTGTCAAAACTTATTTCTCATCTACATCAGTTTGTCCAGCTGTGTTCTATCGTCAAACTGCATACAAACAATAGTGTGAATCTATGAAATCATCATGAAGATTTGGAGCCTAGATGGGGGGTGGGGTGATAATGTTTTTGTGTTCTCTGATCTAAAAAATAGTTTTATAATTAAAATACTTTCGTTGTTGTTACAAGCAAAATGATCTGTTGCTAGTTTTATTTAGTTTATAATGTTTTTTTACTATTAAACCATATAGTTTAAAGAATTACTTACTTAACTGACGAAGAGCAGGCTGGTTTTCGTTCTGATTGAGGATGTACTGATCATATTTCCACCCTCCGCCAAATGTCAGAACACCGTCATACTTAATACGGGTCGACAATTGTAGTGTTTCTTGACATTAGGATCACCTCCAATTCGTTGAACACGACTGTTCTCTGGGATTGTCTATTGGAGAAGAGCGTGCCTGAGAAGTTTGTTAACATCTTGAAAGCCATATATATATATATATATATATATATATATATATATATCAGGCAGAGTAATGTCATACTGTCACCTCTCTCCATTGTTTCATTCAAACAGTAAGGTTTGTCAGGGTTGCTTAATCTCACCATTCCTCTTCAACTTTGTCAGTGATGACGTTTTGAAAACAACTCTGATGGATGTAGATAATGGTGGTGTGAATCTGTTGCCCGGAGAAAGACTTTTCGACCTTGAGTATTCGGATGATATTGTCTTCCTGTGCCGTGATACCGAAGCCATGCAATCCACACTTAATTGTCTGTTAGTGTCCGTAGGTATCTTATTTTCTTTTCACCTTTGGAATGCGATGTACTTTTACAAGACTGGCGTGACACTAATCCTGCACTCACCCTGAGTAGTGAGCTGGTAGAAGTAGTTGAGATGTTCGTGTATCTGGGTAGCTGCATAGGTGCTGGTGATGGCGAGAGTGATGAGATCAATTTACGTATAGTGAAACTCAGAGCGGCTTATGCTAATCTTGGTCATCTTTGGCGCCTTTGTGGTATTAGTCTGGTTGTTAGAGGTCGGATCTGTAACGCGTCGGTGGGAACAGTTTCGTCCTATGTTTGTGAAACCTGATCTCTAGGAGTTGGATATGTTAAACTACTATCTGTGTTGGATCGTTGTTTTCTCCAACGGATTGTTGTCCGGCATTGTGTGTTCGGGCACAGTGACGATAATTCAATTGGTGTCACTATCTTGAAACATCGACATCAATTGCTTGGACATGTCTTACGAATGTCGTCCCCGAGAATTCCACGTCGTGCAATATTTGCCGACGCTGGGACTAGTTGAGAAAAACGGAGATGTGGTCAGTGTATTATATGGTGTCGTGGTACTAAAGAAAGCTGCACAGAACCGGCTTCTTTTGGTCCTTCACGACTCCCTAATCGGGGTCTTAGAGATGGTGCCGCATAGTGGCTTATCAGATTCGGCTCAGAATATAACCCAGTGGTGATCCTGCTGTAACTTTATTTCACTTTCTTTATAAAAAAGAACGTAACTTCTTTAACTAGAGGAATTCTTTCCGGTTGCACCTTTGCTAACTAGACTGCCTCTCACTACCATACACTAAGTTCTGTTCGTTATTGTTCTCATTTTTCTTATACGCACTTTACGTTCTCTATATCTTCACATTCTCATTGTTATTGTGTGGTGCATATGTATTTGGTGCCCCCTTGTACCAATATCTACGTGTTTAAATAAATGAATAAATGTCCTCTCAATTTCGTATACAACACCCTCTCCGCTAGATGGCAGTGAGTAGTATTTCCCTGGTAGTGACTTTACATGCGTTGTCATGTGAGAACATTTTGACCGAAAGAGCGAACTCCTCCCACCCTCAACCGTATTAGGTCATTCGGGGGTCAATGTTTAGTAAGAGTTTAACATTACTAACATATTTTGAGTAATTTTGTTGTCCCCTTAGCAATGATATCGTTGTTTTTTGGCTGAAGCTCTGATGGCAGATATAGATTATTTGATTGAGGTTTACACGATTATCGTGACTGACAATTAGAGACGTTGAATTTAAAGTAGTTTACATTAGTTTTGGTGGATGCACTGTTTGTGTCTTTTTAAATCTTGAGTTTGGAAACGATTCTATAATATGTATTATTCAGTTTTTTCTTTGCAAATCATACTATCCATGCCTAGTTTTTTCTACTATCAATGATACTGTTTTGCTAGTTCAACTACTCTTACATTCATTTATCTTGATAATTACGTCTGATTGTATTGATATGGTGTAACAACTTGAACTAATCCACACTTATCCCCTGTTACACTTTGCCTATGACTTATAATGTTCTATTCCTCTTTTCTCGTGTTTATTTTCCTTTCATATACTTTATTTCATTCAAATAGAATCATATCAAAGAAGCTGAAGCAAGAATTGAATTAACTTTACATTATGGTACACCATATCCACGTTTAAGTAATTTACCACCAAATACTTTAGCTGCATATATGATTACATCAACGAAGAGATCAACACCGCCGCCACCATCATCATCATCTTCGTCTAGTGAAAGTTTTACAACAACAAATAATAATAATAATAATAGTATGCATGAAAAGAGGCGAATATCACGACGAACTGAACGTGCATTATATGAATCTGTCCCATCTTATTTAAAATCATATTCCTATAGACCGAAAAAATGAGAACAAACAATATCATGTCATAGATTTTCTTTCTCCTTTTTCGTTATTTAGATAGTAAATCCAAATGTATTTTAATAGAAGTTCTTTTTTTTTCTTGTTTGTCTGTTTATGTTATTATATTAATGAATCAACTTCCTTATCAGGTACTGATTTCTATATTTTGGGTTTTAAATCACACTCTAAGTAGGAGTGCTAGTGATAATGATTGACTAACTAATGTTAAGTACTTTAAACCTGTGACTTAACGATTGTAAGTTGAATGTCTCTACAATTAAACCATCACTTCACTATGCTGATGCATAAGTTACAATGAATATATTAAAAATTAAAATATAGTGTAATGATGGGATGACTGTATTGTATGTTTTTGTCATTCACTCTTTGAGTGGTTATACGTGATTATTAATAATGAAATCTAATCCGTCATAGACAGCTTAGGATCTGGTGCTAATATGTATCAATACATGTTATCATACACATCAATGTAACAGATGAAAATGAACAACTGGAAGATCGAACGGAGTCAACAACTTGTAGGTATTATTCATCAGATTGGTCTTATTTTGGGATAAAACTAAAAACACAATACGCCGGACAGTTTCTTCGTCCTACTATTGGACTGGGCCGTGTTGGTAGGTGTAGACTACCTGGTTGGGATTCGCGAGATGATAGCAATGGTTAGAGACCTTGAATGACATGGCTCAAAATCGTTTGCAATGGCGAAGGTGCATACACTCTTTGTGTTCTCCCAAATTATAATCTTCTGAATTCTTCATATCCGTATCCTTTTTCTCTTTCCAAATTTATTTCACCGTATTATACTCCTTCAATAATTTCTTCAAACCCTAATCTTTCACATAATACTTATACTCTTACTACTTCTACCAATATGGGACTTGAATCGACAACTTCATCTCTGTGCTAATGTGGTATGGCAACTCGAACTGATTTACGTACGTACGAAGTTCTACGTTGTAACTGACTGACTATTGGACTTCTCAGGAGTGAAAAATGGAGGCATTCAAGTCCACTACGTACGTTTAATCGCTAGAACCAGTAGGCAGGTGTCAAATGTCCAACTTCTATCAGTTGTTCAATGCTATTGGTGACAATCGTTCCACTTCAGACATACCTGAACCCAATCAAAAAATGAATTGGGTAATAAAAATACACATTTAAACTTAAGATTTTGCAGAAAATAAAGATAAAGATATCTGCTCAACCTCGAACAATTTCGCACCGTGCCACTTGAAACATTCAGGCATAAACTAAGTTTGCCGAATTAATTTCAACTGGTGATTCCACACTTTAAGTAACTGATTGACAGTTGGTGACTGACGTTAATTTTACGTCTGGAGGTCTAGTGGCTCCCAAATTACTCATAGTTTACTTTTACGCTAATCAAATAGTGTTGGGTTGAACATAAATAATATACGTTCCTATCCAGTCAATGAAAACTCACAATTGTTTTATCACATTTATCTAGGTGCATACAACTAACATCATTATTCATTCCGTGATTAATACACTATACCTGAGCACTGCTTTAAAGATATGTGAATGAATAATAACAGCCTACACAACCCCTTTACCTTCATGGTCATAAGGATATCTACAGCTTACTGCTGGGAAATATTTTGTACTTCTCGTTATCAAGTAAATACTTTTACCTTGTATATGTTATCAAGTCAAATCACAAGCAGACTACGCAGAAGCAAACAGAGAAGTGAAGAAAAGCATTAAAGCCGACAAGCAGGAATATATGGGAGAACTAGCAACGGCGGCGGAAAAAGCTGCAAGAGAAGGGAATATGAAACAACTATATGATACAACGAAGAAATTGGCAGGGAGATATAGCAAACCAGAGAGACCAGTCAAAGACAAAGAAGGAAAGACAATCACTGAGATTCAAGAACAGAGGAAAAGATGGGCAGAATACTTTGAGGAACTGCTGAATAGACCAGCCCCATCAAATCCACCGAACATCGAAGCAGCCCACACAGACCTTCCAATAGATGTCACTCCACCAACGATCGAAGAAGTCAAGATGGCCATCAGACAAATCAAAAGTGGGAAGGCGGCAGGACCTGACAATATACCAGCAGAAGCACTGAAGTCAGACATTGAAATAACTGCAAACATGCTTCACCTTCTATTCAAAAAGATTTGGGAAGAGGAACAAGTGCCAACGGACTGGAAAGAAGGATATCTCATCAAGATACCAAAGAAAGGAGATCTGAGCCAATGTGAGAACTACAGAGGTATCAGTTTGTTATCAGTACCAGGAAAAGTTTTCAACAGAGTGCTGCTGAATCGGATGAAAGACGCAGTAGACGCTGAACTAAGGGATCATCAGGCTGGATTCCGTAAGGATCGGTCGTGCACAGACCAGATTGCGACACTACGGATCATCGTTGAACAATCAGTTGAGTGGAACTCATCACTATACGTCAACTTCATCGACTATGAGAAGGCGTTTGACAGCGTGGATAGGAGAACATTGTGGAAACTTCTTCGACACTATGGAGTTCCTCAGAAGATCGTCAACATTATCTAAAACTCATACGATGGATTACAGTGCAAAGTGGTGCATGGAGGACAGCTGACAGATGCATTTCCAGTAAGGACCGGAGTCAGACAAGGCTGTCTACTCTTCCCATTTCTCTTCCTTCTAGTGATTGACTGGATTATGAAGAATTCGACATCTGAAGGGAAATACGGAATACTTCTCAGAATCAATTAGATGATTTGGACTTCGCAGATGACCTAGCCCTCCTCTCTCATACACACGACCAAATACGGACGAAGACAACAAATGTAGCAGCAGCATCTGCATCAATAGGTCTCAACATACACAAAAAGGAAAAGCAAGATTCTCAAATACAACACGGAGATCACCAACCCAATCACACTTGATGGCGAAACTCTGACAGAGGTGGAAACATTCAAGTACCTGTAGAGCATCGTTGATAAACAAGGAGGATCGGATGCAGATGTAAAGGCGAGGATTGGCAAAGCAAGGGCAGCATTTCTACAATTGAAGAACTTATGGAACTCAAAACAACTCTCAACCAATTTCAAGGTCAGAATCTTTAATACGAACGTCAAGACAGTCCTACTGTATGGAGCTGAAACGTGGAGAACTACTACGGCCATCATCAGGAAGGTACAAGTATTTATAAACAGTTGTCTACGCAAAATACTCAACATCCATTGGCCGGATACTATCAGCAACAGCGTTTTATGGGAGAGGACAAACCAGCTTCCAGCTGAAGAGGAAATAAGGAAAAGACGCTGGAAGTGGATCGGACATACATTGAGGAAATCACCAATGTGCATCACGACTCAATCCCTAACTTGGAATCCGGAAGGGAAGCGGAAAAGAGGAAGGCCAAAGAATACACTACGTTGGTAATTGGAAGCAGACATCAAAAGGATGAATAACAAGTGGAAAGGACTGGAAAGTATTGGTTGGGACATAGTTGGATGGAGAATGCTGGTGAGCGGCCTATGCTCCTCGACGAGGGGTAACAGGCGTAAGTAAGTAAGTATGTTATCAATTGACAAATGGCGTAGTATCTCTTCAGATACGGTAAAAATCGTACAATAGTTCTTGACTTTCAGTGATCATTAGATAATTGTGAATTTCAATAAAAACTCTTTGGAATTATATGTGATTATCTAGTAAGCTTGTAGTGAACAGAACACAGGTTGGGGAAAATCGGATGTTTTTAAGCAAACATTACAGACTATCTCAGTAAATTCTGATAACCAAACAATGAACAGTCAATTTGCAAATTAACAACCAATTGTTTCAATCTTCACTGTTTCTTCTCTAATTCCATTGCTCATGAATTTTCCAAACGATTGCGCTTCATTTCAGTTCTTTCCTCATCGGTCTTCTGCGAAAATACATTCTATGTCTGACCCACACCATGTACTACTTTTATAGATATAAGTAGACCACACCACAAGCTTACTTAACTTAGTTAGTTGACAGTTGGATTTCGTGTATAGTAAACCACTTGTTTGTTTTCTTATTTGCAACTTTACATGGTATATTTATGAAAAAAGATAAGCATAAATTATTTATAGTGTATAGTGATCAGCTATTACCTATAAGTTCACTTATTTAATAAACAAGTGTTCACAATGTTAGTTGTTAAACACAAATTTCAAGATGGAAGTGATAGCTTAACCTTGTACATGCTCTCTACTCGAACACTACTAGTCGAGTCAGAATTTATGGCGAACTGTTATTGGAATTAAATTCAACTTAGTATTGTTTGTTTGAATCTTCCCATCGATTTGTTAGGACTGCAACTGGTCAGTCTCTAATTGGCATATGTGCATACTGTGCGTATTGCCTCGATAAACCTTAATTCACAAGCATGGTTAGCAGAGATGGATAGTGGCTAGCAGTGGAATCCAGGACGCGCGTTTCGTCCTATTTGGGACTCGTCAGCTGGATGTACCTGCATCTCAGAGTTGATGTTCACTCTGGGATTCGAACCCAGTACCCTCGCTTCAAACGCCACCGCGTTATCCACTCGGCCAGGACGAAACGCGCGTCCTGGATTCCACTGCTAGCCACTATCCATCTCTGCTAACCATGCTTGTGAATTAAGGTTTATCGAGGCAATACGCACAGTATGCACATATGCCAATTAGAGACTGACCAGTTGCAGTCCTAACAAATCGATGGGAAGATTCAAACAAACAATACTAAGTTGAATTTAAACTTCACCCCATCGCACAAGCAAGTGGTTATCAGGACTCAGTGGCCGAGTGGATAACGCGATGGCGTTTGAAGCGAGGGTGCTGGGTTCGAATCCCAGAGTGAACATCAACTCTGAGATGCAGGTACATCCAGCTGACGAGTCCCAAATAGGACGAAACGCGTGTCCTGGATTCCACTGTTAGCCACTATCCATCTCTGCTAACCATGTTATTGGAATTGGTTACTCCAAGTGAGGTTCATCAGGGTTGTCAGCTTTCCCTCTTTCTATTTAACTTTGTCATAAACATGCTTTGGAAGATAACACTTTCATTGTCAGACTTCTCAGGCATTCATCTACCAGGAAATTCAGTTGTTCACCTAGAATAATCAGGTGATATAGTTTTGTTTGGTGAAGATGCTGACAAAATATAGTCTTCCGACCACCCTCAGCAACATTCCAAGCATGTTTGGGATGCGGTCTTCTCACTCCAAATGTTAAATATTATTTCAGGACTGGCTTGCGTCATCGCCTGAATTATTGATAAGGACTGAGGTAGTTGAATGCATCGACCATTCCAATTATCTTGGGAGTCTTATCACTAATGATGGTTTGGTGCCCGACCAAATATCAGCGATGATTCAGAAGGCTCAATTGGCTTTGCCAAATTGTGTCACTTGTGGTGTAGGCCAGATAACTGTCTTCCAACCAAAGGGCAAGTTTAGTGCGCAGCATTTCGCTCAATTTTTTCTTTAGGGACGTGAAACATGCCCATTAAGAGTAGATATTTTTAGGTTACTGGGATAATCAAATGTATCTGAATACAAAACTACAGGTCTTAGTAAAATCTAAGAACCATACAGTAAATTCTTCATTTTCAAAGTGTCAATCGATCGTCTCAGACTTCACTGTTCTTTCGATCCCACACCAATCCTTTGTTCTCGTTCTCTTTCTTTGATCTTAACCATCTGCCGCCAAACATTTCACTTTCGATTGATCATATATACTACTTATATCTATCGACATCAGTAGCACACACAATATCCTAATATCCGTTCAAAATATCCTATTCACTAACTCTAAACCCCAAGCACCAAACATGGTGTTGTATAATTCAATGTCAAAATAACTTGACCAAAAATGGAAACACGGACTGACTAATGTCTGCTTGCTAATCCATCTCAATAAGTAGTATTTCAAGCAGATTAGGATCGTGAAATTCAGGAAGTGTTTCTTCCCATTCACAACACGTTAGCTAGGTGTGCCTGAGTCCGTATTGATGTTCGCGCCGATACTCGCACACAGTACCTTTGCTTTAGATGTCTAACTCATCCACTTGGCTACTGAGTCCAGGTAGCCACTGGCTTGTGCAATGGAGATGAATTTTGTAACTCAATCGTATTGGTTGTTTGAACCTTCCGTTGATATTGTAGACTGCAAATTGGCTGGTTTTCTTTGAAATATGTGCATCCTGTGCGTGTTGCTTCGATAGTCCCGTTAAGTCAAAACTATTTTAAGCACAGTTGGATGATGGTTAACAGTCAAACACAGGACTCTGGTTCGAGTTCATGTATGAAAAGTAACATGAATGCAAGTGCATAAAGCTGACAAATCCCGAACAGAACGGAACATTTATCCTAGTTTCTACTGGTAGCCACTATCTAACTGAAGTTGAAATGGTTGTGAATTAAAGGTAATATCGAGACAATCCTTACAGGATGCAAGTGCACCCTGACACATTGAATTATTACCACGCTATAACATCAACGTGAAAATTCAAACTAATGCAAATGAATAATTTAGTACTTCGCCTTCAAATGACTAAATGTTAAAACACAAAACCAAATGACTATTTGTTGTATTTTAATTGCGTATAACCGATACACAAACAAGAAGACAGTAACAGACGTACATACAACTTCAAATAAAACGATAAATAGGAATAAATTGTACTGACTTTACAGAGGAAAAGAATGCAACAACCATTTTTAATATACTATATTCAGATAAGCATGAGGTCTTTTGAAGGTTAGCATACTGGACAATTCACAAGTAAAACACAACAATATTACAGACAAAATATACAAAGCAATCAAAATTTGACTTAGGTTAACATAACTACCAGTAAGCATAGTTGAGACCTAAACTTTATGGAACAGTAGCATAGAACATGAAAAAAAATTATACATAATATCTGTACAGAATGATTGGTATTTGTGTATGTATATGTGTGTGCAAGAGAGAGGGAGAGGAAGATAGAAAGTAGGGGCGAAAAGTGATAATAGCAGTATAATCACGAAGTTACATTAACATATCGGCAAAATATTCATCAAATTCATCACCCTGTGTTTTGATGGTACCACCAGCATAACTCGTAGCAGTGGATTTTTTACTGCTATTCTGTCCCGATTGACAACACCATACTGAATTAAGATCGGCAGATTTATCTTCAGATAATAACGATTTGACATTGTCACAATTATCGTTAGCGTCATCGATACGTGGACGCTTTGAGGAAGGGGAAGTACTTGAAGATTCTATATTCTTATCATCACCATTATTTGTTTCTTGTGGATTGGTGATGCGTTCATCATGACCTTGGTGTAAATTTAACTGTTTACCAGTAACATCTCGTCTCCTTTAAAACCAAAAAAAGAATGAAAAATTAAACAAACGTTTTCTGTATGAAATATAAAATAGAACAACTTAAATACTGAGAGTTTTTAAGGTTTCCATATTCAATAGTCAAAGTGTTGGTCGAATTCAAGTTTGATCGAATTTGTAATCTAACGCTAACAAACAAGAGGACTACTGAACACTACTGTATTAATTGATCAAGTAATATTTGTCTTGATAATCTCATCCGGCGGTGCAAATATCATGAGGCAAATTTGTCGTTGACTTATTAAAATAACCCTTGAGATTTTGTAAAATATCAAAGTACAGGGATTAAAAAACTACTGAAGAGAGTGATCCATACTGATTGATTACTGGATAGTAGTACCCAATATCATACTTATCTATCTTAACATTGATTGAATACGATTGATCAAATTACAATGCGGATACTAGAATGAGAATCAAATGTGTATATTGACAACCTTGCCAGAAACCAAAACTAGGAGGTTCTAGGTCTTGTGGTTAGAGCTTAAAATTCAAAACACTACGTTAGCAACCCATTACTGACTTCACTAACGGTAGGGTTATGGATGTGCATAGTTAAACAGTCCAATACTAGAACGAAACAGCGATCCAAAGTTTCTTGGTTTTCATTAGCTGTCTAAGGTTACCTACCCCATGATGTAAACCATGCAATTCAAGACTGCCAGAAAACTCTATGTAGCAAGAAATAGGAATCGATAGAGGCGTAATAACGAAATAAGTGTGAAAAACAAATTTGAATTTTAAAATAATTTACAAGCCTCACTGACCGATATCGATAATTCAACTTTTCAGAGCAAGGAGGACATAAACGTATTTTGACCAAAGCATTACGTCGTTCACCACGTTCTTGATAGACAAAATTCACTTCCCAACTACGAAGACGTTCAGATCCAGCTGGACAAGCTACATTTCCACAAGTGAACTGACCTGAAATTTTTGTACAACATAATATATGATGAAAATCCAGTTAAGAGAATAGGAAGTCAAAAACTTGTACATGAGTTTTTGAACCATATTTTGGTATATAAGTTATACTATTTAGTTTCTAAAACGAAAGTTAGCAAAAAATGATATTGTTAATTTAGCCGCTGAAAACAATGTATTTAAATTACTGGCAATTGTGCGCTCAAATGCCCTGGTACGGCTGAGAGTGGGAAGAGTACGCTCTCTCTCTCCAAATGCTCTCATATAGCCACGCGTATATAGCCTCTGCCTGGGAAGTCCTACTCACTGCTTTCTCGTGGCACCAAAAACATGCGCCGCACAAATCTCATTTGATTTGTGTAAGGGCTGTGGTACTGCCCAGGTGCCCAAACTGAAACTGGTGGTTTTCTTAGCTGACCACACCCCGAGCCTTTGACCTAAAGATCTGATCCACAGGGCAGTGAAGCAACGTAAGTAGAAGCAGTCCCATGGTAGCCGGTGACCAAAGATTGGTTCATACGCCGTTTGTCCCCTCAGGATACTGGGGCCCATGTACACCATTGGTCTGGAATCAAGGTTTTCCAACTCTTCTAGGTGGACCCTCCGTGTCCACCAACCCGTTTATAGCGCCGGACATTCGCTTTTTGTTTCCTCAATTTCGTAAACAACACCTGTGGTGTGAGAAGGCTATGAGTAGGACTCCCCACGCAGAGGCTATATATTCGCTGGCCACGTGAGAGCATTTGGAGAGGGAGAGCGGACTCTCCCCACTCTCGGCCGTACCAGGGCATTTGGGGGCTGAGTATGTTGTTTTGGTGAGATTTCCTAAAATTGAACTGCTGACTGACTTACATAATACTTTTCCCAGCCTAGAAAATTGATATTCAGGGACATGTTTTGAAATAGATTGTTTTATACAGCCGATATTCATTTCGAAACTTGTTCTAATTTACATTGATTATTCAAAATTTTGGACTTTGTGATTACGTTATTCATGTCTTGATTCTTGAAATTTTCTCTAAATCCAAAAATAGTTTCTTGTCACAGACCGATAACAGCTGAAGTAATTACTAATGAATATCACGAAGGACTGACTATAGAGTTATTTTTCCTTCTTAGTATAGAACAATTAAACAGTGTGTCACCATGACTGTTCTAAATGTGTATAATCACTGACCTTCAGTTCTAGTACCAAAGGCGATTCTTTCGTCAGCTGATATTAATTCATGGCTAAGTTAGCTGAGCTCTATGATCCACTTTACTCTGATACTTTCTTCATTGTTATTGCCATATGTAATTTTGAATGTCAGTAAAATACAATAAAATAATCAAATTTGGATTGACATTAATTTGAACATCAACCACTTAATAATAACCCCAATCTAAATAAATGTTAATTTAATTCACCTGATTAGATATAAACAAAGTACAACCTGGAAAATACATGAGTGGGTTCGAGTTGACAAATCATTATAGTTGTAATCATTAGTCAATTGAAGCTAGACCACCATGGAAAACCTGGAAGCACTGGACGACCGTTTCGTCACATTATGGGACTCCTCAGTGGCAGTGCGCATCCACGATCCCGCACTCGCGAGATTCGAACCCAGGACCTACCAGTCTCGCGCCGGAGCACTTAACCGATAGACCACTGAGCTGGCATCCAACGGCGCACTGCTGAGGAGTCCCATAATAGGAAGAAACGGCCGTCCAGTGCTTTCAGGTTTTCGATGGTGGTCTAGTTTCAATTGACTCATGATTTCCACTTTGAACAATATTTTACCATTTAGATAAACAAATTTCTTTGTAAACGAGTCAATTTAGTCGATCATGAATATAAAAATGTTAAAAAGCGAATATTACTCCAGATACATGGAACTCTCATGAAAAATTAGTAACCTTGCATGAATATAAATAATGAAGACAAAAGAACTTCCAATATGTATCATATTCCTTGAAACTACAATTGTACTATTTTTGAATAAATATTTCCACAACATGTGGTGGTTATCTTATAAGAACATAAATAAAGTATGATATAATCCATAAAATTAGATTTTAACCCAAATAGTATGAATTAGGAGCAAATAATATTTTCTTAAATAATCTATGTACATACCTTTACCGGAAATTACTTCTTTTTCTAATCTCCATCTCATACCAAACTGTATAGAAACAAAAAATAAATACATAGAAATTCAAGTGAAAAGTAGACAGGATTACTTTTAGGATTTTTAAGAGAAACTGGAAAATGAATTGGAAAGTTACAAAATGAAATCTAGAATAGTGTGCGACCCCATCCAGTAGAAAACAACCTTGCTAAAAAAAGCTAACCCGAATAAGTCTGTCCTCCGAGTTGAAGGATCTTCATTTCGGAGAATTATGACGCCTCAGGATGAAAGCTGAGATTCTTAGGAAGTCACGAGGCTAACGCCTCTTCTAGCAACCAAAGCATAGGTACATGGAACGTCCAGACAATGTGGAAAACCGGTAAAACCAGCCAAATAGCAATGGAAATAAGGAGATACAACTTGGTGAATCTCGGAATCAGCAAAACCTATTGGACACAAGCTGGACAGCAAAGGCTATATACGGGAGAGATGCTGATGTACTCCGGTCACGAAGAGGAAAATGCCCCACAAACTCAGGAGTTTGCTCTGATGCTGTCCAAAGAAGCACAAAATACACTTATAGGATGGGAATTTCATGGACCCACGACCATCAAAGCAAACAAAAAAGGAGGGAATCACAATGAATGTTATCCAGTGCTGTGCGCCCACCAATGATAGCAATGACGACGATAAAAATCAGTTCTCTGAGAGGCTGCAATCGATCATAGCGAAGTGCCCAGGAAAGAACCTGATCATCCTGATGGGAGATCTAAACGCCAAGATCGAAATGTACAACACCGTATATGAAGATATCATGGGATGACATGGACTGACTACGAGGAAGGAACAAGAATGGGGAGATTTGCAAATCTATGTGAATTCAACAAATTGGTTATAGGCGGCACAATATTCTCCCACAAACGCATACATAAAGCTACATGGATCTCACCTGACCGCACCATAGAGAACCAGATAGATCATATTTGAATTACTAAAAAATTCACAAATTCAATGGATGACGTGAGAACCAGGAGAGAAACTGACATAGCTTCAGATCACCACTTGGTTGTGGCCAAGATGAAACTGAAGCTAAAGAAACATTAGAAAACTAGACGAATAGCATTACGAAGGTTCAATAGTCTTCCTTTAAGATACTAATAAAGTCAACCAACACAAGATAGCTCTCAACGACAGGTCCCAAGCCTTACACGACCTACTGAAAGAAGAAACTACGATGGAGGACAACTAGAAAGGGATCAAAGAAGAATTAACTTCAACGTGTCAAGTGTTGAGCCGCAAGAAGCATCCTCATGAGGAATGGATGTCTATGAAAACCCCGGACAAGTTAGATGAAAGGAAGAACAGGAAGACAGCAACTAACAACAGTCGAACACGAGCAGAGAAAGTCAAGGCACAAGTAGCATACACAGCAGCAAACAAACAAGTGGAGAAGAGCATTAAAGCCGACAAGCAGAAATACATGGGAGAACTAGCAAGGACAGTGGAAAAAACTGAAAGAGAAGGGAATATGAATATGGGACGTCCCATAATAGGACGAAACGGCCTTTCAGTGCTTCCAGGTTTCCCATGGTGGTCTAGCTTTTATTGACTCATGATTTGAACTATGAAAATACTGAAATCTCCACAAAACCTCTTCTGAGTAACATAATTATTAAACTATCAGAGTTAGGTACTTGGTATCTTTAGCTTAAATCTATAGCAGGACGATTCATGAATACGGCCGAATGACATTACACAATATAACTAAAGATCCTTCTACTACTTGCTTATGCTGATATATAAGTGTAGTAATACTTATTACTTATTTATAAGTGACAGCATTCATAAGACCCAATCACTTAATGTAGAAAGTGACATCAATTAATTTGTGTATTCTATTGATTTTAACTTACCTTGTTTTCCTTGTAACGTGATAAATCAATAAGGCAATACTCTTTAAATAGTTTTTCCCAGTATTTTTTAGCAAGACGGTCGGACCTTTAAAAAGATAATAATGTTGTATCAATTACGATGTTACAAATAAGTTATAAAAATATCACATATGAACAACAAATTGGTTAATAAAATGAAAAAAAACAATTGTTTACATAGATGAATAGAAAGTAATTTAATTAGAAACTGGAATACGTAGTTAAGTAGACTGTACAAAACAATGTGCTTACTAGCTAGGTTAAAACTTTGTTAACATGAAAAGCTGATTATCCCAACGACAGAAATATGGTTTTAAAGAAGACAGATGAAACCTTAGTGATACAAACAACGGTGAATACCAGAGCAAACTGTATTTGATATGTTCAGTCAAGGTTCAAACAACTAAAACTAATCATCTATGGCTCACTGAGTACAGCCATTTACACGGACTTATTTATTTATTTTATTTAAACACATAAATATTGGTACAAGGAAGTCATTTTATATTACATGCGCTTTTCGAATATATAATATGCATTACACTAATCTTTACAAATAAGTGTAGCTCAAGGTTATATATATATATATATATATATATATATATATATATATATATATATATATATGGAGCGGTGACTTATTGGTTAGGATGTCCAAATTCCAGTCACTTAGTCTCAGGTTCGAAACCATGTAGTATTATTAGCCCATAACAAAGTATCCGGTGAATAAGCTAAAACGAGAATATACATGCTGAAATTACTGGATATATTTGTTTATCAAAGTATGAGTTACGATGATAATTGATACATCAAAAAGTAATACAACGAACATACCATGATGTCGCTTCATCTTCTTCTGACCACAAAAACCTCCCATGCTCTTTTATAACGTCAATATCTGTCTTATCCTTTGAACTGTAATATAAATTGTAAATAATTAAGGAGGGAAAATCACGTGTCACGCTGGAAGTCCTTCCATGATCCACCGTAATATTGCAAATAGTCATTCACCAACTTCTTATGACGTTCGAACTTTAGAATGAGTTAAGGGAAAGGTAATGCTCTTCTTAAAGACTTCATAAACAGATAAATAAGAGCTGGATTGCGAGACAAATAAACCAATTAAAACAATTTTCACAGAATAAGATAAAACAAAGTCACTCTACGCAATGGTCTGTATTTGTATATGGAATCAGTTCAGTTCAACGACAGTTGACCCCCCAATACAAACCTAACACACGTTCTTCCTTCCTATACTATATCCTTATATACAACCTATTTTCTATATACTACCACCACTAAATTAACTATATCTATGAATCCGGTGTTCATCTTGTTGTGCTAACGAGATATGGCAACTTGGACCGATGCATATGTGTCTGGTCCTACGTTGTAGCTGACTGACTTACATAAAGAGGAGTTTTACTCACTTCCTCCACATTTCACGGATAGTTTAACGAAAACTATCCTTCAGTGGTTAAACCAGCTAGTGGATACAATGACTACTTCTTATACAATGCGGATTACAAATTAAAAATAGTGTTACGCACTGGTGTGAATACAATACTCTGTTACTTCGACTATTTGAATATTTATAGAAGTCTTATTTCGTTAGTGGGTAGCATTTAGTCATGCAAAACAAAATTCAGAAATATTTTGCAAAGCTCGCTCGTCAGTAGCGGTTGTATACAATGACCTAAATAACAAACACTTGTATGCAGAGTAGCACGAAAGCCAATCATAAAAACAAAAAAACGCCTAGGAACTACAGGTTGAAGAGCATGAATTAACGAAGTTTCAGCGACAGGAGTATAGTTTACAAGTTAAAAGATAAGTGTTTTCATTTTTCGATTAACGCTTCTAAATCAAAAGTGTTCAACTTGACGCGAATGTAGAGATTGCTGAAAATGCTAAACAGTTACACGTACACATGAACTACACAAAATGATGAGCAAACTAATCAATAAATATGCGATTTCACTATAGTACAGTAAAAACATGCTACATACAAACCAGAGTAAACATCGAGAAGGATGTACAATAGAACTGACAATGAACAAAATCTATGGTCACTGATCTACTGTATGTAGAGCGATATAGTTTGGTTGACGTTTTCCACATCAGAAGTAACCGAGTGCAGCATAGTTCGAAAACTACCCTGAAGTTGTGGGAGAAACTACATTCACCTTTTCATCATTTTCAGACAATAAATAAAGTGCATCCTCCTTTCAGTTATGTCTGTGTTGCACCCGCTTTTCTTTGATTTCTAGATATCGTTAACTCAATCAATTCACATCGTTGATCAGAGAAGGCTTCAGAGGAAAAGCAAAATCAGTGGTCACGTTTAAAGGTTGCCCTATCTTGCATTACACTATTAAGAACAATTTAACGACATTTTTGTCGGCTAGTAGGCCATGCATATAAGAATGGCAAGCATAAACATATAAATTACCATCACAACTTTTGAAGTTCAAAGGATACAGCATCAAGGTTTAACAGGTGATGTCGGATAGTTGAATTGTATGCTCTACAGAAAAATGACAGCTAGCATTTGAAAAATACCTTTTATTCTCTGCGTCCAAAACCGCTTTCGAGTTTCCATAAGCTGGGAAACGAGGCCTGGCAGGTTTTTCCCATAGCTCCTTATCTTTAGAAGGAGGTATGTCAGATTGGCTACCACAATTTAGTAGACAAGTATTTTACAAAATCATAGAAAAATAACAACCTTATCTCACTGTCACGATCGATATTGCTGGAGGTTTCGGATTCATAGTCCGAAATGTAGTCCCTCGACTCAAACATTCTCGCAGTAAAGATTTAGTCGTAAGACGAGCTTCACAGAAATTCAACATCCAATAACTTTAAAAATGGTTAAGGTGATTTTGTGACGAGCTAGCCCAAACTGGTTGGGTCTTCCTCTCACACTTCCTATTAACACGGTATGGTCTCAAGGTCTTTCATACGTCAATGTAGATATTGTAGCAAATTAGCTGCACTGATCCTAGTGAATTGTACGGTTGCTGAAGGTTGATATTTACAATATTTCAATAAGTCCGTTTATTCTAGAGAGATGAAGTTCATAGAAATGGTGGCTATCACATTTCTGAAAAGAAAATTAGTTGAGTAGCGTTAAATAAATTCCCGAAATAAATGGTTCTGCAAGTCTTCGACCTTGATGCTGACCTCACGAAATTAACTGTACACACTTAGATGAAGGCTCTCGGTCACGCATCCCCACCAGATCACGAGTGGGTACGCCTTGCTACACATACCGCTCAAATTTTAACCAGCTAAGACCAAACACTTCTGAACATATCACTAGCCTTCCAAATATATCTTCGAGTCGTTTCGATTCTGACTTCTCGTATAACTGGGTTCGTTAACTTCAATTATAAAGGTGTAACTTGTGAAGGCATCTTTAAATGTCTGAAGTATGAGGCATCATAAAATCAGAGTGTAGATGGATGAAAGGAACATAGTTATCAGAATTAGTACTCTTTCAAGCACTCACATGGCTTCAAGTCAATCCTAACAATGTGACCATGCGATCTACTTCAAAATTTATATTAATCTGCTTGGAAATTTTCAGAGACGATGAACAGATAGATGGATAGGGTTGATAAACAAATTTAACAAAGATAAATTCCGACACCTATAATTATTCTCATTGTTGTGGAAGGACAAACGGCAAACAAAAGGCTCAACATACTGATTACACCAAGCCACGCAGACATAGACATTCCATCAGAACTTCTTCGACACTTCACGAGCAAATCTCACGGCGAACTCCACACCCAACAGCGATGCCACAGGCACAGATTCACTTTCTTCGTTAGAAATTGTCTTCATTTGGGATAATATTCTAGAAGAACGGACACCTTTGGAAGATAGCCGTAAATAATGGCTGAATAACGACGGATATGAACTTTTTCTTTGGCCAACTGTACCTGACGGACACCTTGAAGATAATCTACTATTTCAATCATCATACACCATTCGCCTTTTTAGTGTTCATTTCCTTGTAGTATCAGTTTATATGTTAAGCCCATATACTTTATTCTAGTTACTGCCCAAGCCAATTCGCCTATCCATTATGAGTCATATTTTGATCTTGTTCATTATTCGCTTATTGACCTTGACCATACTTTTATATGAGCGCATATGTGTACACTTAGTATTTTATTCATCATATGTCTGTCACTCATTTTTGTCCGACTATAAATGTTGATTAACCCTTGCTTAAATTGAGTTGGCTTCCCAGCCATCTCCAATACGCATTATCTTTCGCTTCGCTCTCGAGTTGGCTTCCCACTATGCATCATCTTTACATCGCTCGCTAACTTTTCTCATGTGCACACTGCCTTCTAGCCTATATTATTCGACAATAAACTGTAGTTGCTGCTATCCTTCGTCTTCTGATTTTACGCACCGTTAAGTTGAGGATTATAACGGTTATCGAAGTAAACGATTAACGAATCGCGGTACTACATCCCTTCTGGTAAACTTGTACGCTACTCAAGACTCGAAACAGTACTTATGTGATCTGAGGCGAAAGTGAAGAGATCACTTCTTTTACACCAGCAAACATGGACTACTGGAAAATCTCTGGAGACCAACTCCGTGTTGGTCGACAAACATAGATGAGGAGATTGAAAAGTCACAGTTCTTCTACGTAGTTCACTCCATCTTTGTTCTTCTCAACCCGGAATACCTCAGATGTTTCACAAACTACCATATATGATGTTTCTAAAGAAAAGTCGAGCATAGCTTTGTTACATGTTCACCAATCACATTCTACTATGTCTAACTTTAATTTTTTAAGACTGGTTAACTTCTGGTCTTCAGAGATTTTCTTCGGACGCGTGTGACATATGAGGGGTTACTCTTGGTTGCAATAAAACGTCGCTTTAAATGTGACTATCCTGTCTTCCGTAAAAGCTCACAGTAGTTTAAACCTCATATGTGATGGCGGTGAAGTTCAGGGATCAAGATGACCCAACTGGTGTCCTTCGGGTGCGGTACGGCATGAGTCACAACTTACAACCTCAGGTTAAAAGCTGTGAAAATCGATCCAGATCGGTGAGAACGAGTTAAGCGGGTAAATAAGATATATTTAGCTGTTACTGCACCTCGATTAATTGATTTGTGACTCAGTGAGTTGAGAAAATGAACTTACTGAACACAACGTGATATCAGTGTACTCGTTTTGGCAATTTCTGTTCAAATTGACCATTTTACTGTAAAATGAAATCCGTTCGTAACCCTGTAGATAGATGGTGCCGCAAAGAAACGCCAAGCGGAATGACAAGCAAGCAGTTGGTGTGACGGAGAGCCAAAGCTACTCATAGGTGAAACAGGTGAGCACAGGAGTATACGTCTTGTTTTTGAACTACAAGTCATAAATTTTAACTGGAACTTGTCACTTTCGAGGCCTAAAAAGTTTAGAGAACATCATAGACAATGAAATTCTTTAGGTGACGGAAAGACAATATATATCAGTAGTTGCCTCAGGGAAACAATAGTGAATAGTTTCATGACGAATGACTTTCAGCATTTTAGAGGGTGTTGTTTGATTGTTAACGGTACTCATTTCTGACAAGTTATATGGTGCCCTCCTATGAGAAATGCTAACACTGTGCCGTACAACTAAGATTCAGTCACCCATTCAATAGGACTCCAACATTTCAGTCCTAAACACCATAATAGACTACATATTACCAACTGCCTGGTCCGACAAATGACTAAAAGTCAACATGATAAACTTATCTAGAAGAAAGGTGACGCCACATATGTAGAAGAAGAAACGGCTATCAAGGCCAAACTGCCTACTGTTGAAAGATTGTTTCCTTGTCAGGGTTATGCATATATAAGCACACATGTGCTACTGGGATGGTGCTGTTAGCAGATTCAAATAAGTTCTCACCGAAACATTACTATGGAATAGGAACAACCTTTCTCCACCACAGTCAAAGAAACTTTCCGATTGAGGAGCAGAACCTCCAATATGCTTCTTTTCCCCATGAAGGAGTAAGACTATCAACTGATGATCATTGGAATGCGGTACAAAATATTGTCCCTTACATCCTTCGAGGAGAAAGTTTCATAGGTACGGCATGATTCAGTTCAACAGGACCTATTGACTAACGTCGTATACTAGTAGAAGAATTCACCAGACCTTTTTGTCTTCCATTAGGCAGGATGTTTCAACATAATTGGGTCTAACACTACAGAAATAGTGTACACTTGTGGTTTTTGTATGAACTAATGATCCCTTTGTACTTAATGACCGCCTGGTTTCGAATTCTAAATACAAAAAGCAACGACGCTACGGTATCTCGATACCTTTTGCTCTACTCTTTAATTTATGCTTTGTGCACAACTGAAAATTTAAATTAATTATAAAGAAATTTGTAAATTCATCTTCTGACTTCAAAACTAAATGATCAAGTGTTTTCCATTTTGCGATATATGGTATCGCAGAGTCTTTGAAAATTCATTATTCAGGTTCCGCTTCAGTAGTTTTTCCACAGTCGCATCAGAGACTAGCATTGATTTCCATTCGGTTGTACATTAAGAGTAGACAATGATTTATTTATACATGAAGTAACGTGGAAAAAGCATATTGTCTTAAGAACTGTATTGTTGTCAGGGCTTTTTAGACTGCGGAAGAAGTAACAATGCCATTATAAGGTTTTATTTTTTTTCTCTATCGCAGTCTCGGCTGATTTTAACTGTTTTGTTCTACTTTTACGCCAGAAATAGATTAACAGTACTCAGGGTGATTATAACACATACCGAGCTGTTACTAATACCTTATACAGTCAGATATAAAAGAAACAGGAAATGAATCTGTTATATCTCGGACTTAGATTTCTTAGTCGGTCGCGTAATGCTTGAGCACTCTTACGCAAGAACCCTCTCAAGTCAAAAACCAGAAGACAGAAGACGAGTAGAAGGAATGTTTTTCCAAACAGTGTCGATTATGATACAAAACTGTCAGGTATTTATAGTTTTTAGTACAAACGAAATCATCATTATAGTTATCCAATCCGCACACAGGGAGTTATCAGCATTGTCCAATAGGGAAGCTACACGTAGTGATTCCAGAATATTCTTCCAAAAGCTGATTGGATGGAATATTCCCGGCTTCTTCTGTGCTTCTTAGAGCTTCCTTGACTTCACCTGTGGACCATCCCCACAAGGTCAGATTCATAAGCAGAAAGTACATTTATATGAAGCCTTCACCAAAGACTAAGTAAACATAGAGTTACTACTTCTTTTATGGAGTTTCAGTTTTTAGGTTGCTAATATTCTTACAGTGATAGCCAATAGCATAAATAAGTACTATTATAAATCGATGATTTATTATCGATTTAAAATTAAAATAACTAAGTGCATTGACATTTGGAAGAATTGAAATGAAACTGATTATCAGAGACAAATTCAGACTTGTATAATAAAGACAGAAGCCCTACTGCCTGCGTTAGTTAAATTCGCACGATATTTTCATATCTTACAATTTGATTATTATATGTGAGCGTTTGGGATACAAACCGTCACATAATTTGAGGCATTTCACCATATGATATTAGCTTGCACAAAAAATATGGTACACGTATCTTTCGTTTTTCAACTTGGAATACACAGATAAGTATGCATTGATATGTGGTGGACCAAAAATTATATTAACTCAATGATAACAATTAAGTTACTACTTTATATTTTAGTATTACAACATACAAATTATAAGTTATAAAAACAAAGAAGAGTTAAGAGCCGTCAGCAAGTTGTTGTGAGTTCGG